AATGAGAAACTATTTGTTCTGTAAACCTTTATCTAAAGTACAATAAAAAAAATAAAGAGATTGACTCAAGATACACCCTACACTAATCCTGCCTCATTAACATAACAAACACAGCCCATTCCCAAATGGAATTATAACCAGAGGTTAGGATTTACAACACATATTTTTGGGGGACATAATTCAATCCATAACATCAGCACTCTGATTAAGATTTTCAGGGTGCTTATATACAATTTTATCACGAACTTTGAACAAATTTTTTTTATTGGTTGACAATTATGTCAGAATACATAAATTTTATAAGAGAGCAGTATGTGCTCAAACATTATGAAAGCTTAAACAGAAATCTTACTAAGACAATCACAAGATCAGTGAGCCATGGTTACAAGACCTCTGGAATCTTAGAACATGTTCATTAATCTTCAATTATTTTCTGAAAGAACAGGTTTTAAGTGAAACTTAATAAATAATTAAACTAGCCCTTCTTTGGTTTCAACAAACCTGATTGCCTAGATGTAATTATATAGAAAACAAACAAGCTACTTCTAAAGGTCAGTTATAATTCGAGGCATAACTATTAACTTTAAAAATTATATACATATATATTTATTATTATACAGCACATGGGTTTCTAACGTTTAAAGATGACCTTTAGTGCCGTTGGTGAGAGAATGCTCTCTGTTTTCAAAAAGCAAAACGTATAATTTTATTTCACTTAAGGATGCATGGGATTGCATTTAGTGCCCACCCGGATAACTCAAGATAATCTCCTCAATCTCAAGATCCTAAATTTAATCACACTTGCAAAGACTCTTTTTCCTTATATAGTAACACTTACAGGTTCCAGAAATTATGAGTGGATATCTTTGGGAAGTGGGCATTTTTCAGCCTGTTACAGTCCCCATTTCACAGATGGGAAAACAGATCCCCTCAGAGATGAGAAAATTGTCCAGAGCCCCACAGCCTGCATGAGTCCAGCCCAGGCCTAGACTCAGCAGGTGCCCTCACTTTTTCTATTTGATGTCTTCCAGAGAGAGAGAGGAAGGCAGACCATCACCTGAGATTATAGGATTAGGGACTGGGACAGGAAGAGGACCAAAAAGTTCAGAGTTGAATTCCTTTCCCTCCTGAAAGGAACCAGGGCTGATGTTCTTCTGAAAGGAAGAACTGGGTCCATGTGTTCCCCTGAAATACAGCTCCCCTGGGAAGGCAGAATTGACGCCAGATTCTCAGAGTGAGGGGTTGGCTTAAAATCTGCATCCAGTGGTGACAGATGGGTTTCTTTTTCTGGCTTTCTCTCTTTTTGAGAACCGTTGTGAACTCATGGATGATTGTGGATTCATTGTGTGTCAGTCAAAAACCAAAAACCAAACCCATGGTTATCAATTCCAAATCAGCGACCCTATAGGACAGAGTAGAACTGCCCCATAGGGTTTCCAAGGAGTGACTAGTGAATTCTAACTGCCAACATTTTCGTTAGCAGCTGAGCTCTTAACCACTGCGCCACCAGGGCTCCATGTGTCAGTCAACAAGTCATCATTCATTCTGATGTTGGCTTGTGTTCTTTTAACATGTCCCCAACATTCTTTGGGTGCTTCTTTTGTGGCATAACAAGGTGTTCCAGGCTTAGCCATTTCTCCCAGGAGACCTGGCTCCTCTCAGCAGGGGTAAACACCATTTCCCAACCTTTAATGAAATTTCGGCAAAGGGGAGGATTATCTGCTGATAGTCACACAATAAGGTGCTTGTAGTATGTAGTGTCAACATGGCCGCCAGTTGGTAGCGGGAAGCTTGAGTGAACACAAGGGGACTCACCCAATACCCCCTGTGGGGGGCTTTAGCCAAAAATATTTGGCCTGAATACCAACAGGTCTTTAGATTTAATTTCACAGGAGCTGCAGTGGAAGATAGGAGCCCTGGTGGCACCAGTAGTTAAGCATTCAGCTGCTAACCAAAAGACTGGCAGTTTGAATCCACCAGCTGCTCCTTGGAAACCCAATGGGGCAGTTCTACTCTGTTCTATAGGGTCGCTATGGGTCGGAATTGACTCAGTGGCAATGGGTTTTGTTTGGTTTCTTGCAGTGGAAGATAAGTGCAAGCAGTTTGCCATCTGTTAACCTAAAAGTTGGCTGTTCGAACCCACCCAGTGGTGCCGCAGAAGAAAAGCCTGGAGAATTGCTTCCGTAAGATTTCAGCCAAGAAAACCCTATGGAAAAACAACAAAAAATAAATAAATAAAATTATTTAAAAAAAAAACTACCTATAGAGCAGTTCTACTCTGTCGCATATGGTTGCCATGAGTTGTTACCAACTTGATGACAACGAATTTGTTTTTTCTTTTTGGAACAGGGAACGTCAAAAAGCCCATGCAACAGCCAGGGGCCCATCCAGAATGGGGCATGTTTTGCCAGAAACCAGGGTCCAATGTCCTCCCCTAGGCATCACAAAAGGCGCTATAAATCTCTACAGCCAGAAACCAGATCCTTGGCCTGAGGCTGGAGGTGGAGGGAGAGGTGAAGGAAGCCAAGTGGAACAAAGTTGTTTAAGATGGAGGGAAGTGTTCTGAAACTGGATAGTGGTGGTGGCTGCACAATGATATGAATTTACTAAAAAATCATTGATGGGTACACCCATAATGGGTGTATTTTATAGTATATAAATTATACTTCAATACAATTCTTTATAAAGGGGAGGAGGCACATGGATTCACAGACACCAAAGGACATGCTTGGCGCCCAGCAATCATGAATGGGTCCCTGGCAAAGACAAACCTGCCCTCAGAGCCCATATTTGGGAATATGGGCGTGTGTTTGAATAATAGCTGACATAAGGCTCATTTCCAAAATGTGAAGATAACTCAATACCCCCACTTTCCCACATCATCATTATGACCCCAGACACCCACGACACTTTCTCTCTCTGATTCTACCTACCCAGAGTTGGGTCTTCACAAGTTATGACTGTCTTTCCCGTCCCTGCCAAATAGGCAAACGCCAGCCTCTCTGCTGCCTTTCACTGTCCCCAGTGAGTTTGATAACAACCCATTGCACCACCCTGGAACTCCTAAACAAAAACAAATAGTAACAACACAAAAAGACTGCTGCTTCTCCAGGGTCCCAGCACCCCGGCCCCATACTGTGCCCTTGGATTAATTTTGAAAAGTTTAAAAATCAGAAACACACAGAGAACAATATAGCACACACTGGGGACTCACATCCCCAAATTAGCAAATGTTCTAGTTTTGTTAGTCAAGGTCATGGTGAGGTTCTTCTTGCTTTATTAACGCATCCAACCGAAGCCAGGTTAAAATGTCTCCATTAAAAGACGTTTCTCAGTGGTACCCCATTGTATCTGCTACTTCGAGGGCACCCTGGGGCTGGGAATTCCAGCAACCTGAGTAAGTGAAAGCCGGCACTTGTGCGTGTTTACTACCCTAGTGTCGATACTGCCCTTCCGCCTCCGGACACCAGCTCTCTCATACACTCCGCCCATTTCAAGTGAACAATTCAATCATTTTTAGTAAATTTAGCAAGTTATACACTATTACTACTGTCCTGTTTTAGGACATTCCCGTCACCCCCAATGAGATCCCTAAGCCCATTTGTTGGTGCTGTGAATCCCAGTTTCCACCCTCTACCTCTGGCAACCACCCCCAACCACTACGGTGTCGTGGTAGATTTGTCTTTCCTGGGCGTTTCATATCAATGGGATGATACAATATGTGGTCTCAGACCGTGCCTGCGCTGGCCGTCACTTTAACCTCGGGCTCCTGTGTCACCCAGACATTTTGAGTTTTGTCTGGTCGGATTGTTCAGTGTTTTCTGTTAGGAACTGTGCCCTTCACCTCTGGCCTGAGAAGTGCGTTCCAAGTGATGTAGGGAAACTGAGGCAGAACGGCCCCCTAGCCCTGCTCTTCCTGGCTGTCCTAGTGGCTGAGACCATAGACCCATAGTGATCAGCCCAAACTCACCACACCCTGACCACGTCCCCTCCCACATGACAACACACCCCTACCTGCTCCCTGCCCTGCCCTCTTTGTGTTTAGGACATTGATTAACTTGTTACTTTTATCCTCAGGCTGCCTCTTTTGAAAACAGGAATAGATTTCCTAGTAGTCCGACTGACTAACTTTTAGAGTTTCCTCACTCCTTAGTGTGCCGCGCTGTGGAACAATGGACCACGTTTGACTTTTTGTATCTGGTGTCTGAAAATAGCCTGAGCAATTAAGGTGCTCTTTGTTTTTCTAAAAAGGTTGACTCTTAGAACCCACCCAGAGGTGCCTCAAAAGAAAGGTCTGGCATCTACTTTTGAAAGGTCACAGCCATGAAAACAGTTCTACTGTGAGCAGTTCAACTCTGACACACATGGAGTCCTGCGAGTTGGAATCAACATGACAGCAACCGGTTTTGTTTATTAGTTTATTTCCATTTGGGTATTCTCCTTCCAGTTGTCTTCTCAGGCACTGCCCTTGTGGCTGGAAAGGTGTTCCCTTTTGTCTTTACATATGAAAGCACATTAAACCTTTTCTGTGTTGCAAATGGAGCCCTGATGGCATGGTGGTTAAGAGCTTGGCTGCTAACCAAAAAGTCCGCAGTTTAAATTCACCAACCGCTTATTTGAAACCCTGTGGGGCAGTTCTACTCTGTCCTATAGGGTCAACTATGAGTCAGAAGCAACTTGAAGGCAGTGGGTTTGGGGTTTGTTTTTTTTGTTAATGTTGCAATTACCCTCCGCCCCATTCCGGAGAAAAGCTCTGGATCCTTGTCTGGGCGTTGTTATTTTTTGATAAATCCTGAAGGCCACATATTGTATGTGGTATATAAATTACCACAAACCTGGGCCCATTGCTTCTGTTGCCTCCATGGGCTCCACCTGGGCCTGGGTCCAGTCTCCTCTCCAGCCCCCTCCCCAGGCTGCAGCTTCTGGGATCCGTCATGTCCTTCCCTCCACCTCTGACATGGCTTCTCAGGACAGCTCAACCATCAACTGCTGGTACTCACCTTGCCAGGGAACTTCTTCACCTCCACCCCTCCGCCTCCAGCCTGAAAGCATTTCTCAGTGGACATGCTCAGTGTCTGTGCCCTCTGCCAGGTGGATGCTCCTGGCTGGCAGAAGTGTGTGCCTGGGTCCCAGGACTTGGCACAGCCCACACCCCACAGCTGGCACAACTCAGACTGCATACCTGGCACAGCCCAGACTGCACATCTGGCACAGGCCCGCCAGGTTGGGGCTGGGTTTGTAGGCACTGAAACGCAAAACACTGGGCTTTACCCTTGGACAGTGGCTGCCACAGAAGGAGGCACCAGATGAGAATGGAGCAGGGAGGGAGCTTGGGGACCCCGATGGAGCTGGCAGCAGAAAGGGCTCCTGGTGTCTTGGTGTCCACATCTGCCAGCTGAGGGGGCCTGGCTTACCCCATCGAACGATATCTTCTGCTCCTTTCATGCGTCTGTGGCAGCTGGAATCTCACAGCTTCTTCCCTATGCCCAGCCCGTGGTGCCTACCCCTTCCATCCCTCACTGCCCCCCTAGATTCTGGGGCCTGGCCTGGGATTTTCATTTGCAGGCCACAACACCCCCACCCCAACCGCCGCCCTGATTTATTTAACCTGTGTCCTCAGCTGTACTCATTTATTCATCCACATGTCCCACAATCACCATGACAAGGTCTTTGGACAGAAAAGCAAAATCGACTTTTTCTCAAGGCCCGTGACTCCTGCAGCCCCAGCTGCCACCTCTTTTTTCTGCTCGAGGAGTCTGGGCTTGAGTTTTTTCCTCCTGCTTTAAAAAAAAACAAACAAACATTGCTGTCAAGTCAATTCTGACTCCTAGCAACCCTATAGGACAGAGTAGAACTGCCCCATAGGGTTTCTAAGGCTGTGAATCTTTACAGAAGCAGACTGCTACATCTTTCTCCTAAGAGTGGCTAGTGGGTTCGAACCGCTGACCTTTCAGTTAGCAGCTGAGCACTTAACCACTGCACCATCAGGGCTCCTTTCTCTTCCTGCCTACCCAGGCCTAAGAAGAACCCTGGTGACAAAATGGTTAAGTGCTTGGCTGCTAACGGAAAAGTTGGCAGTTTGAACCCACCTAGAAGCGACACAGGAGAAAGACCTGGCTATCTGCTCCCATAATGATTACAACCTAGGAAAACCTATGGGCAGTTCTACTTTGTCCCATGGGGTTGCTATGAGTTGGAATTGACTTGATTGGCACATAACAATACCACCCAGGCCTACTGGGCCACACCCCCATCTCACCATCATCCTCCTAGTCTCTCCCCTGGAGGCTGAGACCTCCTCTGAAGCCCTATGTCCTTTCCTTCCTACCCTGAATCTGTCCCCTGCTCTCCCATTGCTGCCTACCTGGCCTCCTGCATTTGCCATGCTACTAGGTCCACTGTCCATCCCACAGCCCTTTAAATGTGCAAATGGGACTGTAACAAATTATCACAAACCCAGTGGCTTAACACAACACTCATTAAGTAGCTCACAGTTCTGTAGTCAGAAGTCTAGGCAACATTTCTTGCTTCTTAGGAGGGAACTCCTAAGGCCACAATCAAGGCGTTGGCTGGGCTGGGCTGTTATCTGGAAGATGGGAAGAAGAATCTGCTTCTAAGCTCATTTAGGTCATTGGCAGAATTCAGTTTCATGTGGTTGTAGGCCTGAAGTCCCCATTTCCTTGCTGGCTGTCAGCTCGGGGTCATTCTTAGCTTCTAGAGGCAGCCTACATTTCTCATCCTGTGGCCCCCTCCACCTTCAAAGCCCATGGAGTCCTTTTCTTACTTCGAATCTCTCTGCCTTCCCCTCCTGCCTTTAAGGACCCTGTGATTACTTTCTAAAAACCCATTGCCACTGAGTCAACTCCAATTCATGGCAAGCCCATGTGTTACAGAGTAGAACTGCTCTGTAGGATTTTCTTGGCTGTGATCTTTATGGAAGGAGACTGCCAGGCCTTTCTTCCATTGTACTACCAGGTGGGTTCAAACCACAAACCTTTAGGTTAGTACCTGAAAGCGAGCCATTTGTACCACCCAGGAATTATTTGGCCCACCCAATTAATCCAGGACCATCTCCTTATTTTAAGGGCAGCTGATTACTTGTCGCTGTGTAGTTGGTTCTAACTCATGAAGACCATGTGTTACAGAACAGAAGTGAGCTCCACAGGGTTTTCTTGGCTGTGCTCTTTACAGAAGTACATCGCCAGGTCTTTCTTCTGTGGCACTGCTGGAAGGGTCAGTTAGTAGTCGAGCACAAACCTTTTGGGCCACTCAGGGATCATATAATTACATCCACAAAGCCCCTTTTGCCATGCAGTGTAACTATTTCACAGGTGATGTCACATTCACAGGTTCTAGAGTACTGGGGCATGGAATCTTGGGGAGGGCATTTTTAGAATTCTGTCTCCCACATCAGTTTTACTTGCAATGTCCCAGCAACCTATGGGGTCAAGCCCAGTGGACACTAAGAGGAGGGAGAAGTGGCTGTTGGCACCTTCATTCCTGTGTGCTGCAGCTGTAGCCGCTGTGTGCCAAGGTGAAGGACACAGTTGACCCTCCTGCCCTCACAGACCTTCTGATAGAAGAAGAGAGAGTTTGAGGTCAGGGAGGATACCTGGGGGAATGTGATGGCCTTTGACCTGTATAGGAGGGTCCTACAGGCAGAGGGAGCAGCACAGGCATAGCAGTTCCAGGCAAAGGGGTGGCACCACAAGGGGTGTATGATCATGGAGCAGCGACAGGGAGAAGGGAGGAAAGGGGGTTAGCAAGCGTGTTGGGAGCAGACCATACAGGACTGGGCAGGCCACAGTAAGGGGCTCAGGTTGTGAATAGGGACAACGAGACCATCAGACATGTGTTTGTGAGGTTCCTTCAGGTGTGGCCACAGATGGGCTGCAGGCAGAGACAAGACAGTGACTCCCCACCTGGCCTGTACCTTTCCCTCCTTGACCTTCAAACACCTTACCTACAACACAGCAACCCAGCAGCTGCCTAGGTGGGGCAAGCACCTCGGCCTTGTCCTCTTCCCTGAGGCTTACACTTCAGCCCCCATGCTAGACTCCACACCTGTTGAGCTGTTCAATATGGCATGTGATCCACTGAGGCCTTGGGATCTTCTGACCTCAAGCTTCAGGACCTCCTACCTCCCTCCAGCCCCCAGGAGTAGAGCCAAAAGCCCAGCTAGTCCAACATTCCAATCTCACTGGCTAGTGGGTCTGGCTCATGGGCACCCTGCACAGCTGCCCCCATCTCAGGGCCTTGCAGACAAGAGGCTGTTTCCTTTGGACGGCTCATCCCATAGATTCTGTCCCATCTGGTGCCTTCTGGTCTTTCAGGTCTGTCCACTTGCCACCCTCCTGGCTTATGCAACCACAGCTCACCCTCCTACACTCTGTTACTTTTCTGAGTTCAGGCCCAGGGTGTGGCGTGCAAAAGGCGCACATTCATTCATTTGTTCACTCCTCACCTTAGGGCAGGTGAGCCTGGTGGTCCCGTAGGGGTGAGGGGCGTGGGGTCTGATTGCCTCCACCTTCCGGCTGGGACCCAGGCTCAGGGCAGGGGATGGGAGCCATAGCCTTGGTGGCGTTGGCTCCCCCATTCTCACCTATGCCCCGCGTGGGGCTGGGGTACGAGTAAGACAGAGGCCCGCAGCCTGCTTAAGATTCCACTGCCTCAAGCAACTTCCTTGACACACCCTGTAGCTTTACATCCACATCCTGGTTCCCCTTTCTTTAACTGCTGCCCAAAACTTGAGGAAATCGGCGGAAACCGGTTTCCGCACCAGGTTGATGTTCAGGACAACCTTTTAGCTCATTAAGTACCTCATACGTAATAAGTTCCCCGCTTCTGGACGGAGTTTAACTGCCATTTTCTGAACATGCGCTACATGGTTGTATGTAAACTCCATCGCGCCTGCTAGTATGATTAAGAATGTTGCTGATGTAATTTGTATGAACTTCCTACTTGTAAACTCCATAAAAGTAACTTTCCTTCTCACCCTCGCTGGGCAGTCTTGGCGGCAACAGCCCTATTCTTTCCCTTGTGCAACCAAATGAAAGCGCCTTTCTTGATCTCCCCATCTTGGTCTCTCATTTATTGGCTGAGACGAGTGGCACCGAGCAGAACTTAGGGTTTCCACCCTGCAACAGGACGGGTGAGGGAGCAAACGCGACTCTTGTCCCCACTGTGTTATGGGGAAAACGCCGCCTCCCGTTCTTGCAACGGGGCTTAAGCTGGCCAAGATTGGCCATGGGGCTTCAGCCTGGACTACCAGCTTGCCCTCCATTACTGCGTATCTTCTTAACCCTGGGCCGTGCAAGCAGGGGCGTGGCCCACAGATTGACAACACAGGTCCCAACTCCCGCCCTGTCTCTATGGCGACGCCGGAAGGGTGCTCTGGCCCAGAGCTTCCCAGCGCCTGGTCAGTCCCAGTTTCCAAGACTTTGGTTTCTCCTGGGTAGGGGGCCGGAAGTGCTGTCAGGCGGCGAAGCTGATCTCCATGGAAACGCCGGAAACGTGCTTAGGACCAGCGCTCCCCGGCGCCGTGGCCGCAGTGGAGTTGGGTTCCGCCCGGATCGCGGCCCGGAAGTGCGGCCTTGGTGGCGGTGAGCAGGAGGAGGCCACGGCCAAGCCTGGTGACTGAGGAGGAGCAAGAGGTGGGGTCGAGCGGGCGGGCATCCCCCTGCCGCTGGGCCCGCAAGGAGGCCCAGGCGTGCCAGGGGAGAGGCGCTCGTTCTGGGCTCGGAGAGCTGCAGAGCGTACGCTGCGGCGGACGCGAGGGGGCGCTGCAGGACCGGGGCACGGCGCTAGCAAGGGCGCGCAAGCGGGAGACCTAGGGCGGCGGGGGGCTTGCACGGGTGCAGCCGCAGCGGAACTGAGAGGGGACTCGGCGCAGGGTAGGGCGCTAGCAATGGTACGGAGTACGGGAGAGGGTGCTCTGAGTAAAAGGCATGGCATGGGCAAAGGCGTGGCGGTAGGAACGCGATATCAGACCGGGAGGATGGGCCTGGGCGGCGGGTCTCAGAGGGGGACCTTTGTTCTGAGGTATCCAGGAAGGCCCTGCATCTGGAAAGAGGAATCAGAGTCCGCAGGGACGCAGGGCAGGCGGGTCAGCAGAGGAATTCATGCCCTGCTATCTGATGCGCAGGTTTCAGCCTCTGTTACTCGGGCAGGACTTTAGATGCCTGGTGAATAAAGACCGGGAAGGGTGCTTCTGACTGAAGTAATGGCACGTGCCGTTTGAGGAATACCAGGAATTCATCGTCATAGAGGGTTCTGAGCAGAGGAGGGTCCCGATCTGAGTTAGGTCTGAGCGGGCTCCCTCTGGCTGTTGCGTGGGGAATCGACCGGGAGGTGGGGGGCGTGGAGGAGTCCAGTGACGAGTCTACTGCCACAGTGCAGGCCGGTGGTAACCGGAGCAGTAGAAGTGTGCAGAAGTGGACTAGGGGAATCAGATGTGGGGGACGCAAGAAAGAGGAGTCTGGCCTGAGCAACGGAAGGCAGTGGGGGCATCAGGAGCCAGAGGGGTTCAGGCTGAGAGCCCGAAAGCCCCTGAGGATGTAAGGACAGGATTCAGCGGGACGCCCTTTGGGGCTGTGCAACCCTGCGCGAGCACCAGAGTGGGTTGATCTCAGGGTGCGCGCCGTGTCCCAACTCTTGTCGCCTAGACTGTAGGTGAAGCTTGTAGGTGTGTACAGCTTGGGTGTGGGGTGAGCCAGGTGCCCCATCCTTGTTTGTCAGAGGAAGCCGACCAAGCAAGTGTGGGGTCACCTGCTTGGCATGTGAAGTAATAGGGGCTTTGCAGAGACCCCTGGGGGGTACTCCCTCCACTTTCCAGTGCCTGAGGGTGGTAAATGCCTGGTTCATTGGACGGGGGTTCACAAAAAGCTCTGGATTGCCCAGCCATGCTGGCCTAGTCCACCTGTGCCCACTCAGTCACACACCCCTGCGCTTGTCCACACACACCCTCTGTCTGCCACACCCACTTCCTGTGTCCCACGGTCCCCATTGAGACCCCAAGAGGCAGTGGGAGGTACCTCCCTGCCAGTTGGGCAGGGGTCTGCCAGAGACGGAATCTGGCTTTATGTTTGGTGCCTGCCAGGCTAATGCCCAACCTATCCTCAACTCTTTGTGTCAGGCACACCACAAATCACCCAGCCCATCTTCCATCTCTCACGAAGGGACACTCCACCCCATCTCCCATCCTCCAGGAGGACCTCTCCATACACTACTTAACATAACGCTGTTCTAAGGCAGCAGTCTGGGGTCTGCACTGGGCCTTAGATGCTCAGAGGCTGGGGGATGGGTCAAATGGGAGGAGTTGCAGCCAGGCTAGAGGGGACAGGGTCCAGTGTTTCCACCACCTGTTCTGCTTTCTGGGTTGAGGGGCAGCCAGTTCTGGATAGAGTCCCTGGCCTCTTCTCCATGAGGTTGCCCCTGAGAAGGGAACATGGGGAGAGCATACTCATACTGGAGGTGGAGGCGCCTGGGCCAGGGATGGGCAGTCCGAGTCCTGGGCCCTGTGCAGTGAGTAAGGATGGAGAAGGGGGAGGGCAGGCATTTGGCGTGGGGGGTATCCCCATCCTCTTTCACGGGTGTGGTGTGCTGGGGGCTGCAGAAATGGAGGGAGCTGCTGAGGTCCTGGGGATGTCTGAGGACTCAGTTTTGGACCTCGGGCTGTGCCATGTGCTGGGACAGAGCATAATCCCCAGCTGACCTCTCTTCCCAACTCCTGTCTTGTGCAGATGGCTGCGGCGGAGGCAGTGCACCACATCCATCTGCAAAACTTTTCTCGCTCCTTGCTTGAGACCCTAAACGGACAGCGACTGGGCGGTCACTTCTGTGACGTGACCGTGCGCATCCGCGAAGCCTCGTTGCGCGCACACCGATGTGTACTGGCGGCCGGCTCGCCCTTTTTCCAGGACAAGCTGCTGCTCGGCCACTCGGAGATCCGCGTGCCGCCAGTGGTTCCTGCGCAGACGGTGCGCCAGCTCGTGGAGTTCCTTTACAGCGGCTCTTTGGTGGTGGCGCAGGGCGAAGCGCTGCAGGTGCTCACGGCTGCATCAGTGCTGCGCATCCAGACGGTCATTGACGAATGCACGCAGATCATTGCACGTGGGCGTGCCTCTGCCCCAGGCGCCCCGGTGCCTGCACCCCTCCCTGCACCAGTGCCGCCGCCACTCGCACCCGCGCAGCTGCGCCATCGCCTGCGCCACCTCCTGGCCGCGCGCCCCCCTGGCCACTCCGGCGCCGCACACAGCCGCAAGCAGCGCCAGCCCGCGCGCCTGCAGCTGCCTGCGCCCCCGGTGCCCGCCAAGGCCCAGGCGTCTGACACTGACCTGGCGTTCCCTGCGCCCCCTGATGACGGTGGCGAAGATGACGAGGATGAAACCGACGATGAGACCGATGGCGAGGATGGAGAAGGGGGCGGCAGTGGTCCTGGTGAAGGCCAGGCGCCTCCTGCCTTTCCTGACTGTGCTGCAGGTTTTCTCAACACCACCGCAGACAGTGCACAAGAGCACCCCCCTGCGCCTGCCGGCCTTCCTGACTACAGTGGTGTGGGGAGGGAATTCCTCCGGGGAGCTGCAGCAGCCGAGGACGTGTTTCCTGACAGCTACGTCTCTGCCTGGCAAGACGAGGACGGTACCACTGCCGAGGCCTGTCCTGCCGAGACATCTGCCCCTGCCCCTGCCCCGCCCGACTGCATCCTGGCCGGCTCCCGCCCGCCGGGTGTGAAGACCACCGGGCCACCCGGCTCACTCTTCCCCTTTCGCCTGGGTGCTCCCGGGCCACCGACACCCGCGCCCCCACCCCCTTTCTACCAGGCGCTCCAGTCTGACGCGGCTCCAAGTGCTGCTACCCAGTTAGGGGAGACGCCAGCCCCGCCTACCGCTCCTGCTGCGGCCCCATCGGGCACCGCGGCGCGCTCCTCGGCCGCAGAGACGCCCGCCTATGAGTGCACCCACTGTCGCAAAACGTTCAGCTCTCGGAAAAACTACACCAAGCACATGTTCATCCACTCGGGTGAGCTGGGAAGGGACCCCTCTGCCCAGGTCTCTGAACTCCTTGGTCTCTGGTCATTGGAGATTCACTCCCTCAGGAGGGGTCGGGCCCTGGGGGAGTGGGGGTCTGACGCAGGCGCAGTTTGCCTCTCTTGGTCATGCGATCCCAGGGGGCAGGAGGTAGCAGAGGGGTGGGTAATGAGGGGGCTACATGGTTCCAGGCCTTGGCTGCACCCTCTGTAAACTGGGTATCCATCCAGGCCTGTTGTTCTTTGGTGACCCCAGGAGGCCTGGATATGGAGCCTAAGTGGATAGCTCGTGGGTGGACTGAGTTGTGGGGAACAGGTCATGGACCGCGCCTCTGTCCCTCTACCTCGATTTGTAGGTGGGGATCCTGAGGCTGTGTAGGGGAACCTGCCCAAGGAGTTTGGAAAGGTGGTGGTGGAGGCTTTAGTTGGGTGCAGGAGCCTGGAATAAGTGGGGAGGCTTAACCCTGGGTAGACTTAGCCCAGACTAGGCTGGGTAGTGGGCGCTGGGCCTCTCCAGACAGCAGGTCAGGGGTTGAAGGTGAGGGGGAGTGTACGGGCCTAAGGAGAGTGTGGGGAACCTGCAGAAAGGGGGAAGATTAGGGCCTGAGGAGCCCTTGCACCAGGGACAGGAGGAGGTAGGTGCTGCAACGTAGACACCCCTGGCCCAGGAGGGAGGAAAGGGGGCTTTGCCAAGGCTGCAGCAAGGTCCCCTCAGACCAACACTAGGGTAGGTTAGAGAGACTGCTCCGAAGCAGCTAACCCAAACCAAACCAATTGCTGTAGAGTTGATTCCTACTCATGGTGACCCTATAGGACAGAGTAGAACTGCCCCATAGGGTTTCTAAAGAGTGGCTGGTGGGTTCGAGTTGTCAGTGTTTTGCTTAGCAGCCGAGCTCATAACTACCAGTGGAGCGCAAGGGTGGAGCTTGGAAGTGTGGCTAGCTGTGCTGCTTAGCAGCCGAGCTCATAACTACCAGTGGAGCGCAAGGGTGGAGCTTGGAAGTGTGGCTAGCTGTGCTGCTTAGCAGCCGAGCTCATAACTACCAGTGGAGCGCAAGGGTGGAGCTTGGAAGTGTGGCTAGCTGTGCTGAGCCAGGCACAAGGTGGGAGTGGACAGGGGTGTTTGATCAAAGCTGAGCTTGGTGTCAAGGAAAGTAGAGATTTGGCTGGAAGGCCACACCACAGTGGAGAGCTGTGTGTGAGAGAGAGAGAAGATCCAGATCTGCAGGGCAGGAACTTGGTGTTTCACCCTGAGTGGAGAGGAAGCAGTCAAAATGTTCTGAGCTGGAGAGTGATGAGATGTGATTTACATCTTAAAATCTCCCCCTAGCTGTCTTGGGGAGGATGGGGAGAAGATAGGGAGTAGGTGAAAGAAGGGGTGCTAGGTGGTCAGCAAGTGGAGGAACTTCCAGGGGCCCCAAGGCAATGCAGTCCTTGCCTGAAGCAGTGCCCCGAAGCCCTCTGCTGCCGACACAGCCTGCTTACCCTCCTCTGATCTAGGGTGAGGGGTACAGCCCACTGTGTTCCCCAGGGACATTACAGCAGGCAAGGACTCTGGGCAACAGGGGCTTACTGCAGGAAGGGGGCAGGCGTGCCCCGTTCTCTCTTCGCATAGGGGCGAGGGGCCTTTCCATAGTGTCCTCAGAATTGAAACCAGTGGTCAGAGTTGAGGACTCTGTGGGCATGGGGGGGACGGGGTAGGGGATTGTGGGGAAGTGAGGTCAGCCCCAGTGTCTCCCTGAGCCAGGCACAGTGCAGTTTGGAGTGCGGAGGTGAACGGAGATCCTGTTGTATATCTCTGCCTGTGGTGAAGGGAAGTTCGGGAGTTGGAGAGTAGGGGTCCCTGTGGGGCAGTGGGATCTCGGGATGACGGTAGTAGTCTGGGAGTGAGATGGGCGTCCTTGCTGGGCAGGATGATCCTAGGGTGAGGGGCAGTCTGGGAGGGGAGGGGAGGGGTGTCCTTGTCTGGCAGGGTGTCCCGGGGACTTCCACCCGGCTGACGTGTGCACGCGGCCCGTCCTTTTGCCTGCAGGGGAAAAGCCGCACCAGTGCGCCGTGTGCTGGCGATCCTTCTCGCTGCGCGACTACCTGCTCAAGCACATGGTCACGCACACGGGAGTGCGAGCCTTCCAGTGCACCGTCTGCGCTAAGCGCTTCACGCAGAAGAGCTCGCTCAACGTGCACATGCGCACGCACCGCCCTGAACGTGCGCCCTGCCCTGCCTGCGGCAAGGTCTTCTCGCACCGGGCACTGCTCGAGCGCCACCTGGCCGCACACCCAGCTCCCTGATCCGGGGCCCGGCCACACCTCGCACACTGAGGCCATGCCCCGCGCACTGAGGCCATGCCCATGGTAGGCCAGGTCACACCCCAAGTCTCCAGGCTGCACCCACAGTGCATTCAGCCACGCCTTACACAGTGGCCACCCGCACCGTAGGATCAGTCGCGCCACCTCGAGCTACTGAACACAGTTGTGGATCTGGACCAGGTCCCTACCTGAGGCAGTCTGCTCACTCCTGTCCTGCGTGCCCAGGGCAAGCCAAACCCACAGCAGTGTCTTAATCATGCTTCCTCCACCAGACCACTCGCCCCTGAGCACAGGTCCCCCTTCTCTGCCTCCACCCCTCCTGCAGACCTGATGGAGGGGCCAGCCCTGCTTCCCCATTTCCTCCCACATACTTGGACTTTCCAGAAACCCGACCAGCTCTGAGAACTGGACCATTTCCAGTCTGAACAGGACGCTGGGATCCATGGACTCGTGGCTCCACCCTTGATCCGCATCTCCCATCTCCCCTTCCTGTGTGGGTGGGGTGGAGTGGGGCAAAGTCTGGGGCTGCTCCCCAGCCCCAGTGTAGGACTGGGTGAGGCCCAGAACCCCTCCCCCATCCCCCGACCAGGGTATCCCTCCTTCAGGCACCTAAGGGGGTCAGGTGGCCCACCAAGGACTTGAGGCTGGGCCTTGTGATGTAATAAAGGACAGTGGGCCATGGGGCCTGAGTCGTGGGTGTCTCCCCTAGACTGTGCCCGTCGGGCTCAGCCCACCCATCTCTGGAGGTATCCTATGGTCAGCCCCAGCCTCCTGCCACCATTCTGGGCCTCTGTTCTGGGGGAGTGGGGAAGGAATGGGCATAGAGCTGGCGCTTGGCTCTCCTGGGGCCCTTGGTCCTGTAAGGGGGCAGCTTCTTCCCTGTCTGAGGTGGATCTCCTAGAGGGAGGTCACATATGGGAACCCCCTCTCCTCAGACTCCTGGCTGCTGTCCACAGTGCAGATTTCCAGGCTGAGATCCTCTAGCTAGACTGTCAGGGGTCCTTTGGATGTCAGTCTCCCACCCTACCCCTGCCCCCATTCTGACAGGTATGTTGGTTGAGCACCTTACTTTTGGGTGAGTGGGTGGGGGTTTATCAGGAATTTTGAGGTCAGGATGCCTTGAGATAGTCCAAGCCCCAGGATACCTTCCTTGGCCACTGGGAGCACGAGTTCCAGGTCGTGATGCCAGGGCTGGGCACAGTGGCCGCTTGAGGGATGGGCAGTGTCTTAATTATCTAGCGCTGCTATAACAGAAATACCACAAGTGGATGGCGTTAACAAACAGAAGTTTATTCTCTCACAGTCTAGGAGGCTAGAGGTCCGATCGCAGGGTGCCAGCTTCAGGGGAAGGCTTTATCTTTGTTGGCTCTTGGGGAAGGTCCTTGTCATTAATCTTCCCTGGTGGAGGAACTTCTCAGCACAGGGACCCCAGGTCCTGTGCTAGTCTCCTGGCTCTCGTTTCTTGGTAGTATCAGGTCCCCATGTCTCTCTGCTTGCTTCTCTCTTTTATATCTCAAAGGAGATTGACTTAAGACACAACCTAATCTTGTAGATTGTTTCCTGCCTCATTAATATAACTGCCTCAAATCTGGCCTTATTAACATCATAGAGATAGGGTTTACAACACACAGGAAAATAACATCAGATGACAAAATGGTGGACAATCACAGAATACTGGGAATCATGGTCTAGCCAAGCTGACACATTTTTTGGGGACACAGTTCAATCCATAAGAGGCAGTGACCAGGATCCCTGGGCCCAATGGATGGCTGAAGACAGGCCTGCAGTCTCGCAGGCTACATCATCTGGCTGGCACCTCTCACCCTCCAGCATGGTGGGAGGCTCCTGGCTTGGATGCCAGGCCTATCTGGAGCTGGTGGGGGGAGGGGAGTGCAGCCTGGAGGAACAAGCCCAGCTGGTTCCCAGAGGTTAAGGGCTAAGGCCTTCCTGTTCCAACCACACACAGATGTCCAAGCCCCTGACCCTTAGTGATGCAGGGGGTGGGCTATAGAGCTGGGTTTGAGTTCTGGCACTGCATGTGCTCATTTACTGAGTATTTCCTGTTTAACTGGCAGGGGGCTAAGCTCCTGGGTTCATGATTCCAAGGCTGCAGCTGAGTCCTGCTCCCTCGGCGGCTCGTGGTCCAGGGTCTTGTGGACAGGGCTGTAGCCTGGCTGAGCCCCATCTCCCCATGGGTTAAGTGAGTACCACGGGAGAACCTCCCTCATAGGTGCACAGAACTGTGGTCAGTGCTCCTGGCAAGGCCCGACTTTTGATCCTGTTTATGTTCAGTTTCGCCAATTGGATTGTTAGCTCCCTGAGGGCAGGATTTCTGCCTGGTGCACAGTGTGTGTGTGAGGAGAAGGAAGGGGGGAGGTGCTAGCCCTGGAGCAGGAAGGTAAGGACAGCAAGGAGGGATGACAGGGGAGGCTGGTGGTACCCATGAAAGGGCCAGAGAATTGGGTCTCCAGAGGTCAGCCACAATGGCAGAGGGAGGACAGAGGCCAATGAGAGGAAAGGGGACCCTGTAGATAATGGCAGAGGCAAAGAAGTGACAAATGTGACAGAGAAGAGGGCCTCCACAAGTGAGGACAGGAGAGGGCCCCAGGTGGGCAGTGACAAACGCAGAGGAACTGGAGCCAAGCAGAGTACCTAGCAGAGCAAAACAGGCTGTCACAGCACGGCCGGGAGCAGAGCCCTGGCCAAGAGCAACCACTGTCAACAGTTCCTGGGAAACCAACACGGAGGCAGGCCTGGTGTGATCCCCTGGAGGTCCAGAGGTTGGGAACAGCCAGCACCAGTGTTAGAGGTGAGATGGTGCACACTGCTGCCACTTTGAGGAGGGAGCTGGTGCAATGGGGGTTAGGCCCAGGCTGGTCCTGCCACTGCTGCTGTTGCTGCAGGCCCTGGGGCAGTCTGCGTGGCCGGCTGCCGTGATCCTGGTGCTGTGCTCTCTGGTTGCTGGGGGACCCCACCTGTGGCATGCTGTTTGGCCTGGCCATTCTGGTGTGACCCTGGCTTGGCCCCTGGATGCCCCACTGGCTGAGCCTAGTGGCCACAGCAGTCACACCAGTCCTGCTGCTATCCAGCTGCCAGCTGACATCGCCTTTGTGGTCCAGATCCTCTGCTTGGGGTTGCAGATGTGGGCACAGCTGAGCCAACAGCTGCCCTGCACCTTTGTGGATGCCTTTGAGCAGCGGGCTCAAGGGCAGCCAGACTACGTGCCCTTGGTGTTCACAGGGCCTGGGGGTCTTAAGGTCACCTTCGGAGAGTTGGATGCCTTGGCCTGCCAGGCGGCATGGGCCCTGAAGGCTGAGCTGGGTGGCCCCTCCAGCATGTCTGTTGAGAAGCCCACCACTCTCCTGGTACTGGCCTTGTGGCTGGGGCTGGCCAAGCTGCCCTGCGGCCTGGATCAACCCGCACAGCAAGGGGGTGACTCTGGTCCGTGCTGTGCTGAGGTCTGGGGCCTCGGTGCTGGTGGTTGACCCAGGTGAGGGCCCTCCAGGGTCAGTGGGAGGGGGCAGGGGGCGGACAGGGAGGATGGCAATTCAAAGAACAGTGGTGATGGTGGAGGCTGAGCAGAGTCCTTTGCTTCCCACTTGCGCTCACAGCAATTAGAGTTAATATTAAATCCATCAGGAAAATTATTCTGAGGGCATCAGTTTTTATTTTCTTCAAAATGACTATTTCCATCCTTTTTGCCAAAAAAATACCAACTATGGGATTCTCTACTGAAGAATGTCAAATCGTTTCTTTGCTAGCCTCTTCCTCCGTGGCAGAAGGCTCCTCTACCCCCATCTCTGGGTTTCAGGTTCCCCACTCCCTACCTCAGAGGTGGGCCTTGCCTCACTTTCCCCTCTCACCGGTCCCTGTAGACCTCTGGGAGAGCCTGGAGGAAGTCCTTCCCAAGCTGCAGGCTGAGAACATCTGCCACTTCTACCTCAGCAACTCGTCCCCAATGCTGGGTGTGGGGGCTCTGGGGGCCGCCTTAGATGCTGCTCTCTCAGACCCAGTGCCTGCTCACTTGTGTGCAGGGATCACACCACGAAGCCCTATGCTGTACATCTACACCTCAGGAACCACCGGTAAGGGTGCCCAGCAGCTCTGGTCCCCAGTCTCTGAATTCCCGCCCTGACCTGTGCTTCACACTTGACCTCTGAAACCCACGCTGTCTTCTAATCCTGGCCTGAACTGACCCCCAGCGTGAGTCCAGTGTTCAACACTGAAATACTGCCTCTGTTCTTGATTGATTACCCACAGCTGGATTTTAGCCTCTGAATTGAAAATCCAATTTGTCCGCCCCAAAGCCAACCATGAGTCATACTTGACCACAGTCTAAGAGCCTCAAACACCGGTACAACCCTGGTGGTGGTGATCCCACACTTGTCTACCATCCATGGTGGGTCCATTTTTGACCCACCCCGCTTCCCTGCTGTCCTTTCACTACCCCACCCTTCCCACTCCTTCATCCCCCAGGACTTCCAAAGGTGGTTATCCTCACATATGAGCCGCTGCTGCAAATGTTCGGAATGCTATCGCTGTGTGGGGTCACAGCTGATGACGGTTCTGCCTCTGCACCATGTGATGGGGCTTGTCTTTGGAGTCCTTGGCTGCCTGGAGCTCACTGAACTTTTGCCTGAGGACATCTCCAATCCACAGAATTCCAGTATGGGTTTCTGGGTGGGGCTATCAAGTTGACAAAACTGCATAGGCTACCCAGCACCCTGGGTGTCATGGTTTGAATTGTGTCCCCCAGAAAATGTGTGTATCAATTTGGCTGGGCCATGATTCCCAGAATTGTGTGGTTGGCCTCCATTTTGTGATTGTAATTTTATGTTAAAGAGGATTAGGGTGGGATTGTAACACCACCTTTACCCAGGTCACATCCAGTGTAAACAGAGTTTCCCTGGGGTGTGGCCTGCACCACCTTTTATCTCTCAAGAGATGCAAGGAAAGGGAAGCAAGCAGAGAGTGGGGGACCTCATACCATCAAGAAAGCAGTGCTGGGAGCAGAGCGCATCCTTTGGACCGGGGTCCCTGCGCCGAGAAGCTCCTAGTCCGGGGGAACACTGATGAGAAGGCTGAGAGAGAAAAAGCCTTCCCCTGGAGCTGATGCCCTGAATTTGGACCTTTAGCCTACTTTACTGTGAGGAAATAAACTTCTCTTTGTTAAAGCCATCCACTTGTGGTATTTCTGTTATAGCAGCAATAGAGAATCCACAGAATTCCCGTATGGGTTTCTGGGTGAGGTTATCAAGTTGACAAAACTGCACAGGCTACCCAGCACCCCGGGTTCTCAGCTTTGAGAAGGAACTCAAAGAAAGGAGTCCCAGGGCTACTGGAAGAGAGGCTTGGACACTCACACAGTCCCTAATGGCTGTGCTTTGGTTATGAGGTGACAAAACCTGAAATGAGTGACACAGGCATTCAGGAAGCCTCTGAAGGCACTCAGTAGGCAATAGAGATGCTGGTGACAGATTTGTGACACGGCCACAAGAGGAGCTGGTGAGGTAATGCTTGCCAAGCACTCCTGTGGGCTGTCTTCCTGGACACCTGACTGGGACCTCTCCACAGACATTTTTTCTCAGATTTTTATTACGTGAATTTCTAAACATGCTGAAAAATTTCTAAGCACACACACACAACTATGAATACTTACGTGCCCACCATCCAGCTTCAGCCACCATCAGCATTTTGCTGTACTTGTTTCATTTATCCCCTCCTACTTGCCTTTTTTTTGACGTGTTCGATTGTTAGTTTTCTTTGTTGTTACCTTAATATTTACCCCTATTTTTCTAAGTTTAAACTACTCTTTTATTTCTTTATATTGCCTTGACTTCTCTCCATATGAAAAATCTATGTCTACATTTTTTAGTCCCTCTTTTTTATTTTAATGTTGTCATCTTTTACATATTGATATCTCTGTTCACCTATTTTCAGTGTATTAGCTTTGATTTATTTTTGTGACTTCCCTATCTGAGTTAATATCTGGTTGCTCTGTCCGGTGTTCTAGTCTTGCATTGTTATCTGATGTTACTGATTTTCTAACCAGGGGACTCCCTTTAGTATTTCTTGTAATTTTGGTTTGGTTTTTGCAAATTCCCT